TGTGTGTGTGTGTGTTGTTTGTGTGTGTGCCCTGGTTTGTTATTTTTTTAATAACTACGACTCATGAAATGTTGCTGATAAAGTTTGTGGAAGAGGTTTGATGTCTGCAGCGCCCCCTGTGGCTGCCGTCGCTCTGGGGTGATGGAGCTGTTTGTTTTCTGTCTGCTGATGTTTCACATTAAAGGTCTACAATAAGCTTTTACTGTGAAACTTTTACAGGAAGTTGAAGTTAGGATTGGAGGTTTCATGTTCGATCAGGACTCGACTGGTTTGACTCGTGCGTCCTGAGCGTGTCGCCTGCTGGTGGCGCTACAGGCGAGATCAGGAGGTCAGACCATCACATTCCTGGATTCAGACGTTAAAACTTTCAGAGAAGCTTGATGAGTCATCACAAAAGCAAAACGTCCCTCGTCTGACTGTCAGACACTTTAGAGGAGGTCAGAGTTCATTGGAAATGTCTGTGTGCGTTTACCTTTTAATTTTGAACGAACTTTATTAGCTGTTTTCTTGATGTCAGCTGTGAGGTCCTCCAACTCCTGCTTGGTCTCTGAAAGAACAATCACACACAGAGTTTGTCAAAATGTGTTTGAAAAGCCTTTTGATCGTTCATCGTCCTTCACTGGTGGACGCTGTCAGCCTCTGGGTCACCTGAGAGGAAGTATGGAAGTCTGAAGAGGGCGACACACGTCACACAAAATAATTTCATCTTTATTTTAACTTTACCTTTTTCAGACATGACCTCCAGTTAAAATCTGGAGAACTGTCCACAGAGCTCAAATGTGACAAATGAACGTCCTCATGGATCAAACATTATATCGTCTTAGGTGAAGACTGCAGCTTCCTCCTCTTCTTCTTCTATGGTTTAATGTGTCTCTACTTCCTGTGATTGGTCCTAAAGTCCAAACTGTCCAACAAAGTGTTTTCACTGTGAACCAACGAAACCAGGTTCAGTTTGATCCAGACCCAGAACTCCTCCTCTGGTCTGAGGAACGTTCACAGCTGAAGTTTAGACTGAAGCTCTGAAACAAACCAGGTGTGAACGAGCCTGAAAGTGGAGTTTTCTCCTTCATGAGTGACAAGACTCCAACATCAGGTGATATTAAAAGAGAAGAGGAGGAGGAGTTACAGTCTGTATGAATGTTCGCTCTCCTCCCTCTGACTGCAACTCCCATCATGCATGGGGGGGAGTCGTGTTTTTATAACACGTTGATGTGATCGTCTGTGAACATGTACTTTGATCATTGATCGATAATCAATATTAGTTTGATCTGGATTTGATCTTGTTTTTTATCTACATGACTGGATCTGTTCTTTATTCTACTCTTCATCTTTCGGATCCCTCTCTCCTCTCTCCTCTCATCACGACGAGATATTCACCTGTTCATTACACATTAGTCATGATTATTACAGACGTGACTCACGTGTCGACAGCGGTTAAACTCCTCGTCTCATCTGAGGTTCACTTCAAGTCATGCAGGTTAAACATGCAACAGAAAAACAGCAGAGACAGACGGAGGAAGGAAGGAAGGAAAGATTAAAGGTGGAAAAGAAAGGAACATCCAAGGAGAGAGACGAGGAAGGAAAAATTAAAGGATGGGAAAGAAACAAAAAAGGAAAAATAATTATCATCATCATGCAACAACACAAAACATGAAACGAAACTCTGAACATGCAGAACGAAGAGATGACGGAATCCTACGTGTTCCAGAGTGAAGTCTGATCCAATACAGACGTTCTGATGATGAATGTTTTGACTTATCTGTTTCACACTTGATCCCTTTTCTTTGCTCTTTGTTATATTGTAAATATCGTAAAGACGAGTCAGTGTGTTATTAAATGTCTAAACACGTTAATACAGCACACGTTTCCATGTGTTTTTTAACACATGAACACACGGACATCAGAACAAGGACTTCAGACTCCAGTTGGAACCTTCAGAGAATGTGAATGAGCAGTGAGGTCTGGATAATATGCTACAATCTTTCCTGGTGGCCACTCATGGTATTGCAGCGTTAAACCCCCGCGGGCCAAAAAGCATCTCAGTCTTTCTCAATCTTTGTGATTTAATCTCTAGCGACATGTCAGCAGCTGAAGTTGACGCCACAGTGAATCTGATCATGTGTGTTTCTGTGTGAATGTTCAGATCTGACTGCGTTAGAAGAGCCAGTTAAAAATGGAGGAACATGCTGAAGCCCTGAGGCCTGTTTTTTTACAGTGCAGCGTTTCTGACAGCACAGACTTGGCTTCAGGCCTCAGCGCTGACACTGAGTCATTGTTGCTGAGTCATAGCGTGTCGGGGTCAGGGTGAATGCAGCGCAGCTTACTGAGCCTCACGCTCCGACTTCAGACTGAAGGAGGCGCTCAGAGGACAGTGAACAGATCAGATTTCATTCGGAGGTTCAGGGTGAACTGAAGGTCACCTTCATTGTCCAGATCACCACTGATCTGACAGCAGCCATCTTTGAAAAACATTTATCAAAGTCTAATAAAAATAAATGTCCCGTCTGCTAACACGGAGGAGGCAGGGTTTATGACCTATACTGCAGACAGCCACCAGGGGGCGATCCAGACGATTTGCCCTCCCTTTTGGGAGCCGTCATGTCGTCCATCGTTATTTACAGTCTGTGAGAAACACTGTGTGTGTGTGTGTGTGTGTGTGTGTGAGTCTTACTTTCGTCAGGGTTGGGTGCGGCCAGGATGGCGCTGTGCTGCTTCTTCACCTGCTCCACATCCTCCGACAGCTTTTCTATGCAGCCTCTGATCTCCTCGACCTGAACACACACACACACACACACACACACACACACACACACACACACACATCTAAATATACATTTCACAAATCTTGATTTTAAAATAAAATGCCTTCAACTTCATCATAACCAACATAAACAAAAGAGAATCAAAAGAAGAAGAACTTGTTGTCGTCTTTGTTTCTGCGACAGTGTTGGCGTGTGAATGAGCACACATGTTCACACTGACAGAAGTATGTGGACACACGTGTCAGGTGAGTCAGTCCTGAACATTGGAGACATTTGTTTTAGTGACTGAATGGATGCTAACCTTTGTTTGTTTGTATGTTTGTTGTTGTTTAGGTCAATGTGATTGGCTGAGGACGATATTCCAGCGTCCACAGGGTCAGCGGCAAGGTCACGACTCTCCCACGCCACATATCACATCTTTCAGTGTTCCTGATTACTATCATCATTTTTCATTTGTGTATTATTATCATTATTATTATTTCATCCTTGGGATCATGTTTCCATTGATTGGCTCCATTCTCAGATAAAACAGGTTCACAGATACTGATATAATATAATTATATAAATTCACGGTTTCTTTGTATTTGTGGCCTCAGTAGCTGACTGTGTGTGTGCAACATAAAAAACCATCGTGAAGTTTAATCGAGGAACTTTCTACTCTTGACTCAACTCTGAGGTTCATGCTGCTTCCTATAATTTATAACTGAGTGTTTATGGTCAGAGACGTTTGATGAAACGCTTTGATTCAAATAAAGGTCGAACTGAACCAACGTCATACTTTATTTTATAAACCTGGTTTGAATTCAGTAAGAATAAAGTGGAGTCAACATCAGAACCTTCAGTTTGTCAAATCCTCCGAACATCAAATCATCAAATCATCAAAGAATAAATCATTGAGTTAATTCATTGACAAAAGTAAATGAAAATCTTGAATATTATATATAATAAACATATAATTCTTTCTTTGATCTTCTTCTTTGATCCGGTGTCACTCACCTGTTCAAAGAACTCATCCATGAAGTGGTCCCTGTCGACCTGCACCACCTCCTCGTCATCATCACTGTCCTTCGCCTGCAGACACACACACACACAC